CTGTCTTGTGGAAAACGACGTTGTCGATCTTGTAGTCGCCGTGGACAAAGGTCGCGCGGTCCTTGGGCTGCGTCTTTGGGTCTTTGAAGAAGGCTACCATGTCGTCCTGATGTGGTATCTTGCCTACTGGCTCCCCAGTCTCCTTGTCTTTAGCCGCACCTTGCGATTTGGAGATGGTGTCGAAGGTTGCAATTTGGCGGTTGTAGAAGCCAGAGTTCTTGCCGTAGGAGGCGAGATTGACAGACGCGGGGGATACGCGATGGAATTTCGCGAGCGTGGTTATGGCGGAGTGCCACCTGGAGGGTATGCATTAGTACTGTCGTTGAACTTCAGTTGAGATTGAGAGATCATACATCTTCGTCCGTTCTTCGGCTGTTACGCCAGGAATCGCGGGATCTTCGAAGATACGCCCGTCGAGGAAGTCCATGATGTAGAAGTCGGTGCCGATGACGTCCTGGTCCTGGCAAAGACATAGTGCGCGCGGGATGGGAACATCGGTCTTTTCGAGTGCGTGGATGATTCTGTACTCGCGGTCGACTCTGTGCGCAGTCTACGAAACCTCGTGTTAGTTATGATAATCGATTTTCTCAAATGGAAAGACTCAGCATACCTTTGACAGCAGTTGACCCGGGGGCTTCTTCCTCATAACATATTTCTTGCCATCTTTATCCGTCAACTGGTACGTCGGATTCGACTGTCCATAACCGAACTTTTAACTGTTAGCTTTCGTGTCCAGCTTTCATCCCCAGCTCTTCCCGACTTCGAACAGCGTACCTGCTTCACATCCAGCGGGACTTTGATCTCCGGTACATTGGCAGTGATGTAGCGCTCTAGCGACGCAATGTCGATTGGTTGTCGCACGTTGCCGGCCATGGTGAGAGCGGCTGTTGAGTAAACATGGTGTGGGCGCGCGCGCAGTGATGTAGTTGGCGCGGTTGACCATCACCGAGGCGTGAGCCGAGGCAATTGTGGAACATGGGGAAAGGCGCTCGGTCGGCGAGTCGGGAACTGCGGCGACTCCGCGGGTAGCTGAGTCGATGCTGATGGAATTTTACACCTTTTGGAGTTTGAAGTGTTCGTGAAGAGGACTGCAGATGCATGTTGTTGGGGAGCTGCTGTTTTCCATGTAGTGACTAGATACGCAATCTTGATTACTGAATCCATGTGTTTACCACATCTATAGTTCAAGTAGATATGGGGGCGTCAGGCTGATTGCAACCTTGAAACTGCTCGTTCCAGCACAATACCAAAGAGCTTCCATGTCTTCATACGTGTTGGGTATTCCAGGCCTCTAGCAAGCGATCGGGAGGCAGCCGGGAATCTGACTGCCTCCCCCGCTCCCGCTCCTCCTCACGTGCCCACGCGTTTGCGTTCACTGCTTATGCAGGGCTTAGCATCTTCGCGTCAATAGAGCAAGGACATGGTTTGGTCATCGGAGACTAAGTACGCGACTTGATGGTGCTTTTGTGGCGTCGGCGGACTTTGGGATATCAATAGCATCGTCAATAATGGCTGGTGATACTAGCATAGTCCAATAGTTCAGACAGCCGAATATGGGAAAGTCAATTCACATCTTGCGAAACCCCCTTTGCTTCAAACAAGCAGTAGCATTGTCTAGTATACGCAGATGAAGGACCGTTTGTCGCGAGGCACAGGACGACTGCATGCTGTCATTGGTACGGAATTGATTGCTTTTTGTCGGTCCCAATGCACAAGGATCTGCGCGCTACCGTCGCGTACCACAGCTTGTATGACATACTGCTGCATTTCAGTTGCGACCTCGAGAAGGTGAGATATTATTCGAAGCAGCGTTGAAGTGAAAAGAGGGGCTGCGCGTAGAAAAGGAGGGACGTTTCCCCTGACGTTCTGGTGCAGATGGATTGGGTAGCGATCGGTTAATTAATCATGCTCGTCAGTCGCCGCTACGTTGGCAGTCCAACCCCTGCGGTACCATCGCATCAAAACAAACACCGTCCAACCTGCCCTGTGCTACTCCAAACAGGTCGACCCTGTCAACGAGCCGTCCGGTATGGCCTACCCGCACACTCCCAGGCGTCTTGGAGCGCGCCCTGCACTCCACCCCACTGCTTCCTCGCCCAATCTCTCGCTGAACGCCAGCCGCAACATCGCACGGCAAGCATCGCTATCCGCATTAGTCGGCGCTGGAGGCTCGCCATCGAACAGGATGGGCGCAGACGGAAAGGATATAGACGTCGGCGACACGGTCGACGTCCCCGGCGGCATGGTCGGTGTCGTCAAGTTTGTTGGCAGCATCCGGGGCAAGCAGGGCGTCTTCGCGGGCGTCGAACTGAACAGGGAGTATGCAGCGCGGGGCAAGAACGACGGCGCTGTCGATGGGTAGGCACACACAACGCTCGATATGTATGCGCGCATACTGACTTGTCTACAGCACACAGTACTTCGATACGTCTGTTCCCGGCTCTGGCATCTTCCTGCCCGTACATCGCGCTCAGAAACGGGTCTCAGCCGACTCGTCGGACTTTGCACCTGAGCCTACCACGCCTTCATACCATAACAACTTCAGTCTCTCCACCATGGAGAAGCCGAGCTTCAGCCCTAATACCCCCTCGATGCCAAAGCCACAGTTCTCACAGTCTGTCGGGCCCGGAGCCCGCGCGCCTAGTCCCAAGCGGCCACCCCAAGCCAGACCATCGTACAGACCCGAGTCTCCTCTCCGAAAAGGCAGCCTTGGTACCGGTCCAACACCGGGAAGGAGCGGCGGACTTACACCCTCTGGCTTCTCCAAGAGCGCAATCGGCGCGCCCCCGCGATTCGCCAGTCCAGCGCCTCCTCGTTACGCCAGCCCTGCACCCAGAGCCCCTCTCCCACAGAAGCCACGCACACCTGGTCCGCAACGGCCCTACTCGCGAAGCAGTTCCCGTCTCGGCCACCAAGACACCATCGACGAGGACAATGAGACAACCCCGGTTGGCGCAGCGCGGACCAGCAATGACTCCATGGCAAGTTACAAGTATAAAAGGCCTGGTTCGCGCCTCGGCTCGCAACCAAATGAAGAAGTACAGCGGCTTCAGGCGCTGCTAGACGAACGCGAGAAGCAGCTCAAGGAGCAGGCTGCATCGCTGAGTGAGATGGAAGCGAGTCTGTCAGAGATTCAAAGCCTGATACCAGAAGACGGCTTGGATATGGGTTCGGCGCACGGCAGCAGCGAGCCTACTGATGTAGCGCAACTACGAGCACTTCTTAGAGAGAAGAACGATAAGATCGCCATGCTCACGTCCGAGTTCGACGCACATCGATCCGATTTCCGAAGCACCATCGATACCTTAGAGCTGGCGAGCACCGAAACTGAGCGCGTATACGAGAAAAAGGTGGAAGAATTGCAAGAAGAGCTACGGGAATATGCGTCTCGCAGCGAAGATGTCGAGACTGTAGCGATGCAGCTGAAACAACTGGAAGAGCTTGTCCAAGAGTTAGAAGAAGGTCTGGAGGATGCGCGGAGAGGCGAAGCTGAGGCCCGAGGAGAAGTCGAATTTTTGCGAGGCGAAGTCGAGCGAGGCAGATCCGAACTCCGTCGCGAACGCGAAAAGGCCGCTGCCGCTCTCAAGGGGGCCGGCGCAATGGTCGACGCGCCTCACACACCGGGGCAAAGAGAAGTCGAGCAGCGCGATGACGAGATTCGAGGTCTCAAAGCCATCATCCATTCCTTGAGCTCTGGCGGAGGAGACGACCGTGTCCGCTCACCACTATCGCGACAAGCGTCCAATGTCGATGCCGAAGAGCTCCAGAGCGCCAAAGCGAACGCAGAACGTCTCGAGCGCGAGAAGGAGGAACTCCGGGGTCTCGTAGAACGCAAGGCCTACAGGGAAGAAGAGCTAGAACGTGAGCTCGAGAAGCTAAAGAGGCAGCTCGGCCTCGCGGAGCAGCGCGAAAGCGTCATCAGCAACGGCCTGTCCGAACACACGGCGACCCAAGAAAAGCCCTCAGAGCGCGACTCAAAAGACACCGTCGTAAACTGGCGCGAACCACCACAGCAAACCCGCCGCGATGCGCCCCCCGCACTCTCCGTAATGCCAGAGTCCGACGGCCGCTCCTCCGCCAACAGCAGCCTCCTCTGGTGCGAGATCTGCGAAACAGGCGGCCACGACATCCTCAACTGCTCCGCCATGGGCGGAGACGCCTCGTCCTACCCCCAAGAAGACGGTCTACGAGGCGGCAAGGACGTTGTCATCGAAGGCCTCCGCGGCCTCTCCGTCTCCTCCGCTGGCGCCCGCCCTTCTGCTCTCAGCCCTTCGAAACCCCCAGGCAACGCGCCCACGTCTCCTCTCCCCACCCCCTCGTTCAACGCCTCGAACTCCGACCTTGTGCCTCCCAAAGGCGCTGCGATCGCTGATCCGGATAAATGGTGCGCGCTGTGCGAGAGCGAGGGTCATGATGTTACGGCCTGCCCTAATGAAGACGCATTTTAGAACATGAGCGCAGATGTTGTGTAAGACCAAGGGGGCATGGTGTCATCGCCTTTCCATCTGTACGAAGACCGTGAGGAGATTATCTATCTGACTCTTATTTGTTATCAGATTACAAGGGGGAATGTATGGGTCAGGGATTGAAGAGGGGTCATCATCTCCATTTTCCGTATTGTTCGTTGTTACGCGTATGATATCCCCCCCATGATTGAATCATTTCGAATCTGTTCTTTATTTTCGCAGATTTGCTGGTACTAGCGATTCTTGGGCGCGACTCTTTCAAATCTACACTATTATGCGTATATAATATTATAATCTTCTTGTTCGTTTCGGTCTGGTTTGATAGGGTCGAGTAGAGAGAGGGTTAGAGGCATACAGATAGTGAGATTATCGGGTCAATCAAAGCAATGGTTAGGTCTACATTGGAGACTAACTGACTGACTACCCTTACTACTTAAAGTACAAAGCACTGGATTTTCCCCAAACTCGATTATAACGCCAGGGTAAAGAACTCCTTTTACCATGCATACGCAGCGTGATATTTTGATCGATCGATCAAGCCTTTTTGCTAGACTTGTGCTTCTTGCTCTTCTTCGCAGCACCCTCCTTGAACTTTTCGGCTTCTTTGTATGCTTCTTCGACTGCCTCGCCGACTTTCCTCTTCTTCTCGCCTGTCTTGACGGCGACGGTCATGCTGCCTGCTCCACCCTTTTTGGCTGCGTTGCTGACAGCGCGTTCGGCGTCTTCCCAGTCAGCGGCTCCGGCGCCGATTTCGTATCTGTTGGTAAAAAGTTAGTGATCGTTCATGTGTTACTGTGGAATCTGGGGTACTTACTTGTGCAGAGGTAGAGCGTCAATCATGCTCCTTTGCCTCTCCTTGTCCTCAGCCAGGAACTCATCGCCACCCTCCCTGAGCTCCTCTTGCAGATCCTTCTCGAGAGGTATGAAGCGGTGGGCGTCGTCAGCAGCTTCATCACCAGCGCCGTTCTCTTCAACTTCCATAGCGTCGGGCATAGTTTCTTCGACTGCGCCTTCGACTATGCTGCGGAATGCTGTGGCGGCCTTTCGTACAATCTTGACGAACATGGCCATCAGCTGGCTGGAGTTGAGATTGAGTTCCTTCTCCACGTCGGAGAACTCTTTGCGTTGCAGACCAATGGCGAGGAGTAGTGCAGTTTGGATACCACTGAGCTTGACTTGGCCCTTGAGGCGGCCAGTAAAGTAGAGGGTGGCGATGGGAGGCAGCATGTCGAGGATAACGTGGTAGTCGAGCATGTTGTTCGCGTATGAGTCCAGGCGCTTGAGATCGAATGGTGTGAAGAGCGCGTCTAGTTCGGCCTTGCTGATGGGTTTTGCGGCTAAGTCGGCGTCTAGCTTGGATCCTGCTGATGCGGACTCTTCTATTGACAAAGAGGTGATGGAAGGGAATGAGCGGAATTGGTAGGAAAGGAGGGAGAGGAAGCGCTTCTGGAAATCCTTGGCGAATGCAGCGACCCAGCTACCGTCGGATGAGGTTGTCTCGAGCGAACGCAACATGATGCATGTGTGTTCTCCAGTGAGATCGTTGGGTGTTTGTCGTAGGTAGACTGGGACGAATGATGCGCGTTTCCAGAACTTGTGAAGCTGCGATGTAAGGCCATACGACACACCGACATAATCGAGCTTTGGTGACCTCAGCTCCTGTAATCGGGCAAACAGCGGCGGCATCTCGTTGGCTTCCCGAATCTTGACGTTGTCCTGTAGGAGCGACGTGTTCTCCAAGTCTTCCTCTGTCACCCTGCGCATCTGTTCCACCTCCTGAGGCTCAGATTCCGACAAGCTGGCGAGCTTGCCATCGTAGAAGTCTACCAGAAGCTGTAACGCCTTTGATCCGTAGCCCATCTTGACGTACTCCGGGTTGGTTGCTATCCGCACAATACGAGCTCCAGAAAGACTTGCGAAGTTCTCGTCCTGGAACTGCTGCGAAACGATCCAGGGAATGAGATCACCGCCTGCACGCTGTCCTCTGCTCAGACTGTTCATTACACTCTCCCTGCTGATCTGACCTTCGAGCGCCACTTGGATCACACAGAGAGGCTCGGGGAGCTTGTTCTCTTCTGTGGGCCCCGTGAGCACAAAGAGCTGATGGGCGGGCGCATCCGACATGAGCTGGAGATCGTTGGGTGTGTTCTTGTAGTGGCTAGCCACGTACAGCGCCATCATCTTCTGAAGGAACTTTTCGGCAGCAGGGTTGTAGGAGAAGAGGGTGTCCCGGTTGACATGGAGAAGTTGGCATTTGTCAGGGTGCGGGCATCCTTGCGTGTTCGTCCTTCGGGGTAGTGTTGCGTCCAGACATAGAAGATCGTTCATCCACCGCTCCACTGAGTCGCCTTGAGCGTATCGAATGGGTTCTGACAGTGTAATCTCCCGGAGCGATCGGCCGGTCATGGAGGTCTCGTTGCCGTCCTTTGTCTCCTTTCCAGTCGAACGATCAACCACATGGGTCGAGCCATTGTTTCCTTTACCTCGCGACTGTTCGCGAAGTTGTTGGATCAGCTTCAACGATAGCGATCGACCCGTTCCTTCGTAACCGTTGATGGTCGATGCCATGAAGACTAGGTAGGGACCCATCAATTTGCGTACGAGGGGCAGAGGAATTGCCGCGGCCTCGTCAATCACCAGAAGCTCTGCTTGTCCCAAGACGTGCGAGTCTTCGGGCCTGATGTATTGGATGACCTGTCGGTGCTGTCGATGTAATTCGATTCGTACGATGGCTTTGTTCTGGTCGGGCTGTGTCGATTGCATAATGGTGTAGTCTTGGTGGTCTGCGTAGTTTAGCGAATCGAATCCTTTGAGGATGAACTCGAAGAGCGTCTTCAAGTTCTCCGGGCTGGGCGATGTGATGTAGATGTTGCTGTATCCATGCGCTACTGCTGCTGCCACTGCAACACCAAGAGCTGCTGACTTTCCTCGTCCACGAGCTGCGGTGAGGGTAACAGTGCTGCGAAGCGTCTTCTCGACGATGGCCTCCACGAATGTCAGAAGAGCCTTGGCCTGGTCCACGGTCTTCGCAAGCTTGACAAGATCTCCGGTAGGAGGCGAATCTGCCAAAGACTCCTTGATCTCTGCCAGCTCTTTCGCCTTAGGTGTCTTGCCCTCCAGCTCTAGGTCTGGTGGAGGCAGCTGCTTGACATGCTTTCCGCCTGAGATGGGGAGCACATTCAGCTCATCGTCGACAACCAAGCAGCTGTCGCATTTCCCGAGTGACAGCAGGAAGCGCTCGTTGAAGCGCGCTACCACGTCGCTATGTGCCTCTGTCCGATACCTCGAGTGGATGTCCATGGACATTGTGTACAGCTGCTTCAAGCTGCTCATGCCCTTGAGCAGCAATATGACCAATCCTCCACCCTCGACCGTCTCGATTGTCCTTGCGAGTAGGTTCGGCGTAAGCGCTTCGAAATCCTGCAGGATACACATGCCGTATGTGTTACCCAGAATCTTGTCGGTTTCCTTGTAGTAGACATATCGGATGTTCTGCGTCGAGACGAATAGTTCGAACGGGTCTTCGGTGTCGACATCGCGGATGCCGCGCTTGAGTTCGTTCTTGATCTTCTTCTCGCGCTTCTTGCGGTGACTTGAGAATCCCAGCAGCTTGTTCTTGTATGCCCACAGCACCGACTTGTTCAACTTAACGTCCACGTTCAGCAGGATGTGGTAGAGGTTGACAATGACGTCTTTTTGGCGATCGCCGACCACTACGAAGAAGCTGCGCTTCTTTTCCTGGGCGCCATTGCGGATCAGGGCCGGTATACGGGAGTCGATGGCTTTCTTCGGCATCTTGAGAGCTCCGCAGGCGTCGCCGCCTCTAGTTCGATAGCGGGTGTGGTTTGGGTGGCGCACGCGATCTATCGGCTGATTTCGGATCGCGGAAGAGTCTCGTTTAGATTGGAGGGCGGTGGATTTTGTTGCCCGTGTTGTGGTGGGTGACGAGCTGCGTGCTGAGGAAAAGTTCGAGCCGTCGCGATGCCCGAGAAAATAATCCAGGATTCTTATCGATAAGAGCAGCCTCACGCTACCTACGCGCTACAATGCGAGCGCGTCTTGACTTGAACCAAAACTTTGAACACATGCATGTATTTTTATCTGCTTGTCGTTTCACTCTCTAATGGATCAGTCACTAATCATAGGTGATTCAGTGACAAGACTTATCATCGTACAAGCTTCATATGCCGTTTAGAGTCAAGACAACGAAAACATACACATGGCAATGTCGAGCCTCATCAGTGCATAGGGACGTGCTATATGGCAAAAGCTCACTACCGAGGAACTACTCGGTGGTTCCCGCCTTCCGAGCCTCAGTGTACGTCTTCAATCCCACATGCTTATTGATCCAATCCAACACGACCGTATGCCACATGAGCCCATTCTCAGGCTTCAGGACCCAATGATTTTCATCCGGGAAGGTCAAGAACTGACTCTCAATTCCTTTACACTGCAGCACATTGAACGCTGCCAGTCCCTCACTGATGGTGAGCCTGTAATCCAGTTCGGAGTGTATGACCAACTGAGGCGTGGCCCAGTTCTCGGTAAACCTGGACGGGTCCCACTTGGCCCAATTCTCGGGTTTATTCCAAAGCGTTCCTTTGATGTCGTGGAAGGGGAAGTACAGCTCCTCAGACGCCATCTGGCCGGACATGCTGAAGACACCGTCGTGGGTCACTAGAGCTTTGAATTCGCGGCCAAGAGGGTGTCCTTGGATCCAGTTCATCATGTACCCGCCGTAGGAGGCGCCGAGGGCAACGGCTCGCTTCGTGTCGACGTAGCTGACATTCTGCTTTATGTAGTCGAAGCCCAACACGAGGTCTTCATACGGCAGACCGCCCCACTGGCCTTGGATCGCATCTGTGAAAGCTTGTCCGTAGGATGTGCCTAGAAATGATGTCAGTATGTATCTTCTATACAGTCTTTGGTACGAGGTTCACGTACTTCCTGTAGGATTTGGGCAAATGACAACGTAGCCTTGCTCTGCGAATACTGCAGGGTTCCAACGCGTACTCCATCCATCCGTCCATGCGCCCTGGGGTCCACCGTGGATGAGGTAAGCGAGGGGGTATGTTTTGCTGGACGAAAAGTTGCTGGGCTTTATAACCCAGGCGTGGACCCTGGTACCGGATGCAGCGCGATCCCAATAGATTTCATCGATCTGGTGGCGCGACAGACCAAACATGGACCCAGAGCGAGTATTGGAAGAGATGTACTTGGTTGTCAGATTATCAGGGTCTGAGTCGTATGGCCGATCGTCGATGGGAAGATCGTAGACGGCGGTGTCTTTGCTTTGCGTGCTTAGCGGGACCAGTGAGTAGAGAGAGTTCTCGATCAAGCTGGTGGAAGCCAAGAAAAGATCGCCATTCTTGAGCACCTGTACTGAGCCGATGGTCCCACCCAGAACTAGTAGTGATGGCAGAGGCTCCTTCTCGCCGCCAGGCTTAGGAGGTCCGGCACTGTATAGGTTTCCACGCCCACGTGATTCAGCAGTGAAGTAAAGGCGCCAGTCGTCAGGGCTCCAAGATATTGACTGTGGGCTTCGGTCCCATTTACCCCTGCCGTCTTCAGATCCGTAGAGTAGGGTGACCTCTGAAGGTTTCTTGTAATCGTGGATAATGAAGGGTTGGTTCTTGTCTGACTCGTAGCCATCAGTCTTCATAGAGAGGAAAGCGATCATGCCACGCGAGTTCGACCAGACAGGAGATGTGCTGGCACCCTCGAAGCCTTCGATGGATACATTTTGAATTTGTGGCTGGTCCTTGAAATGAAGATCATCCCAGAATGTTTCAGACGCGGAAACGTAGATGTTGGTCTTCGTGTGTGTCGCAGGGTTCAGGCCAGGATCTTTCGCGGTGAAGACCAGTCCATACTTGGATATGTCGAAGTGATCCTTTCCACCAAAAGGCTCGATCGGCGACTCCAACTCCGTTCCCTTTAGCGCATTTATCAGAGGATATCCAGGGTTGGCACCTGTATCTTGGGACTTCTCCGACTTCTTCAAGATGAACTTGCCAAGCCAGATCGCGTTCCGGTTCTCCGTCACGTAATGATCCCAATGGCGAACAAATCCGGACTTGTAAAGCTTGCCCGAGGAATGTGGCTTCTCGGCCAGCTCGGGGTTGAACAGCGTACCATCTGGCTTCGCCTTACCGACCACAGCGAAACCGAAAGTATCGTCGCCGAGGGCATAGATCTTGGCGTCGCTTACTGGACCGTCGATATGTACAGCAGTATGTTTGCTGAGAGTCGTTTAGCAGTCGCACACTCATATGGGGAGTATTGAACCTACGTCTTCTCGAAGTTGTATGGAGAGCCAACAACCATCTTCGTGGTGCCATCATCATTCGACTTTAGCAATAATACAGTCTCATCGTCAAGCCATGAAGGCTCGCTGAAGGATGCATCGTCTGTCACGAGACTGGTTTGCTGGCTTGCAGCATCCAGAACGCGAATCTCGGATTTCTTTGAATGTTCAGCAAAGCTGTATGTCGAAACCGCGTATATGACTTTTGATGCATCGGAGTTTGGGACACCTCCGGAACGGCGTGGCGCTTCGAGTAGCACCTCGGGCGTGAACTTGGAGGCTCTGATCGTCATACTGGTATTGGCCTCAAGAGGAGGTATCTTTGTGATATGTTAGTCGGGTGTTCAGAATGGACTGCGTCTCATGTTTAGGTTTTGGACCATTGTGTTGAGATGTAGGATCGCTTCGTGTTGGCGACGCTCAGAAGCGGTGTAGATGTAGCTGTACGGATACCACGTGTAGTAGAGCCGACTTTGAGATGCTAGGAATGAACAAGATCATCAGACCATAAAACAGATCATTGATTGAAGAGCGCATGGAACTTCTGCCCTTGGCCAACGTCTCTTGTTGTCGAGCATCATACGCTCAGAGAAGCAACGACCTCAGACGCCCGCCACGTGTGAAGAAGGGCGTCTACGGATCGATGAAGAAGGATTGGAATCATGACTTACTTAACGACAGGCTTCTTTCGGAATATGAGCAACGATTATATCCGACAAGTAAGTGATAGCGGTGGTTGTGAAGCAAGGAACGCGGAAGGGAGCACCGTGGTAGATGTCTCACGGTCCAACTAAGCGGATGTGGTTGGCCGATCCCCTCACGCGGGCGGGCACCAGCCACCCCACCAGCTAGCGGCGTTCTCTGTGTCATCACTCACCGACGTTTGCATTGCCCCGCCTATGATATCTGTGCGATGTACAACAATTCCGATCGATGGGTACCGGCTACATTCAGTCCTCCCACACGCAAATACCTGCGATATTAACGATCTATTTTGAAAAATGTCCAAAAACAAGTCCAGGGACAACAAAGTCCTGTGGCGCAGTGGTAGCGCGCCGTTCTTATAAGATTCGTCAGACTCTTATGACCTCATCTCAGGTTATGCGGATGCCGTGGGTTCGAAGTACGTGATTTCCGGACAACCGTGATTCGATTTCCTTTACTAACAGTTCTTCCAGCCCCACCAGGACTAGTGATCTCTCACCTTTTTTTGCTGTTTTTGCAGACTCCTTGTGCTCGCGGGCCGGGCCTTATCTTTTGGTGGCGGGGCTACCCTTGCGTAATACTAATCTCTACACTTCTAAACACCTGCTACGAACTAGGAAGGAAAGCGCATATGCTGAGCATGCGAAGAGTGTAATACTAATAAACATTAGAGTTGAGCTAACAGCAGCTACTTCACACTCGTCCTACTCTGTCGACATCGCTATGCATTCTGAGGTTTCAAGAAAGAGCAACATTTATGAAACGCATAGCAACATGTACATGTAATGCTATAGCAGAGTAGGAAGACAGGTTGTCAGACAAACAACTACCAACATGGTTATCATATCAGAGTGCATAAGCACATTGTTCATAATTCCCCATCTCCCCCTCATGCATCCCAAGCGCGCGCCTCCCACTCCATCGCCGTATCCGCTCGCTCCATTCGTTTCCTCTGCTGTACGGTTCCCACCCGCTGCACAACCTCTTGATACTCTTCCCCGCCCCTTTCAAACGAAACAACAATCTTCCTCCCACACAACGCATTCAGCGCCTCCTCCACCCTCTTCTTGTTAAGAAAGATCCGCCTCTTCCCCGCCCAATCCACAACCACCTTCTCCAGTTTATCTAGCACTTGCAGTGCTGATCTGACCGATTCTGGATCCATCCCAGATGCCCAAGTTAAGTCCATGTACTCTTGCACTGCTAACAGCGCGGTCGCCCACTGGATCTTCAGCGAGCGGATAGAGGATGCTTGGGCGGGTGATAGGCGGCGTAGAGTAGTGGCAATGTCCCCTGGTTTGGTGCAGTAAATGGTGTTGTGGTAGAAAGGGAGAAGGTGTGTTTCCAAGTAGAATTGTCGGGATGCGAGGATTGCGGCGAAGGGGTTTCGCGTTTGGGGCTTCGTATCATTGGATAGAGACGTCTCGTTGATTTCAAGACCCATCATCATTTCGTCAATATCCACGTCTATCTCCATCGTATCTTCTTCCTCTGCTTCAGAGATGGCTGCCCCTTCGAGATCCGCATCAAGAGGAAGGAGTTGAATAACCTCACCCGTAGTGAACGCAAATTCGTAAATGCGCTTGCGGATATCGCCTGGTAAGTTGAAGAAGGCCGAATCTGAAGAGTTTTGTATGCCGAGATCTAACATTTCTTGCGTGGGTTGGGCTTTCTTCGCTTTCTGGTTGAGCATCTTTGGGGTGAAGCGGATTTTGGGTTGCGAGTTGAGAGACATGGCGCGTGGTGTTGGTGAGGCTGTTTCTTGTGTTGGTATGTAGGCTGGAGGATACAATGCGAGTTATCGGCGAGAAAGGAGTCGGGAGAAGTTGATGTAGTCGGCAGGCTTATTGATGATTGTGATAATGTTGCTGGGATACGTATCGTATTGAATCAGGCTCATACATACTTCCGCCTAAGTGTACTATGGATGAGATGTCAGAACCTTGGTTCGTTCTGGTTGACGACCAATCGAAACATCAGCTTGCCGACAAGAAGTCGTAATTCCAGCTTTTCCATCGACGCACATGACACCGAGGAGAATACCAGAATAGAGTATTAGAAATTGGATTGAGAAGAGAAAAGGACGTCGCTATTCTAAAAAAGAACCGCTAAACACACCATGGTATACGCTGCGCCGTCATTATGTACCCTGGGCAAAAAGCCCGAACCAGTCATGTAACCAAATCGTAATCTCATTACCAATGCAATCCCTCCTCACCCATTACTTCCAAATCTGCCACTTCTTCTTACGCTTCGGCACCACGAAGCTATCCTGGCTCATCTCCTGCTCCTGTCCGCTGAGACTAGCCTCATCGTCATCAGCGCTATCGAAGCTATCTTCATCTTCCTCTTCGTACCTGCCTCCGCCAAGGTACTTTGCGCCTACTCCTGCAGTGCCGTTGCGCTGGGGGTAGGCTGGGTAGGAAGAGGTACGATCGTAACCACCTCGTTGTGGTTGTGCGGCGTAGTCAGCACGTTGGACTGGTTTCTCGGTGTACTCTGGGTCGACGACTTGACGCGGTGCGGTGGCAGGGTGGGTCTTGCCGTCTCGGCCGCCGCTGGAGAAGTAGTCACCTCCGGCTGTGTCTTGTCGTGCTTGGAGGCCTTGTCCGTCTCGCGAGTAGGGCGAGTTTGGTCCGGCGCCGACGATCGCTGGATGCGGTGGGTATGATTCCCGCTTCGCCTTCCTTTGTGTTTGTGCAGGTGTATGAGCGGCAATATGGGCATCATGCTCCCACTTCTTGTCGTGCGAGTGTTGGTTCAAGATACCACCCATGGATCTTCGCTGCACTTTAGGTTCTATCTCTGGCGAAGGCGCAGGGAGTTGCGACTTGTGAGACGAGTTATAGGTAGGCTGCTTGCGCGTGGAGGCGGAGCGGGATGGCATCGCTGTCGCTTGGGTCGCAGTCTGGGTAGCGGGAGGAGCGACCGGCATGCTGACGTGCCGTTTCGCGGCCACGTTGTCCCAGGCAGCAGCTCTGGACGAGGTACCCGCAGCTGCATCCAAGCTTCTTCGTCCTTGACTTTCCGGAACGAGATCCCGGGGAATTCCGTTCGTTTGGTTCGGAGCTACAGTTGCAGCTGCGTTAGCATGGAAGCCTGAACTCAAACGATTCTCTCGGGCAGTGGGAACGGGAGCTGCAGGGCCAATGGCAGTGACAGGGGCAGGCTCAGAGCCACGCCTGTTGCCAGACCCCATACTCGGCATGACTATCCGAGGTCCGACCTTGTACCTTTGCTGCGTGCGCTCTTCTTCCTCTTCACTAGACATCTCCCCAAGCTCACTTCCGCTTTCGCTGCCCGAGATGGAATTGCCATCATCGCCGATCGTCGCTTTGCGCTTGCCACCAAAAGAGCCAAAGAAACCACGGGATCTACCCCTTTCTTTCTCGACGACGCCCTCCTCAGGCTCGACATAAGTAAGCGCTGGCACGAGTAGTCTGTAAGGCATTGTGATACCGGCCGGGTCGTGCTGCGATACCTCAACGTTGAGACAGATGTCAAGACCACCCTCAAGGTTGACGTATGGGCCGTGGTGCCGCTCCGTCTTCTTAGTCAGTACGCTGGGTCGGCGATGGAAGGTAGACGGTCGATCTTGAGACACACTGTGCCGGCTCAAGGGTGGTGTTGCAGTCTCAGACGTGTCAGGACGGGCGACATCTACTGACGCGCGGCGACGGAAGAGTGATGTCAGAGAATTGCGTCGCGAACGAGTGGGTCTCTCAGGTTCTGATCGATCGGGCGAGAACGAAGACTGTGGTTGATGGTGGCCGATCTGAACTTCATCGGCGGCGGCATATGAAGGGTTGTTGCGATAAGACACAGGTGGTCCTCGGCCTCTTCCTGAAGGTCTTCTCTGTTGGCCACTGAGTCTTCTCACCAGCTGCCCTGGCGCGAAGTCTGACATCGTTCTTCCCATGCGCGGCCCGTTCGCAGGGGTCGTGGGTGGCGATGGCGTTTCTGACGGTGAAGATCCTGGCTTGTACTCTCGAATGCTACACCAATTTCGGTGTGGTAGCAAATGTGTGTTGTTCCTCTTCTTGCCGTCGACGCCGTGAGTGAAGAGGGGGATCATGTCTTCATCTGTGTCTGAATCGAGATGGTGTATCTTGTTGCGCTTGTTGATGATGTCTGCCATCACGTCTGGAGGCGGTGTGTTGACAATAGCGGAAGACACAACATTCGGCATGTATCTGTGATCCTTGTCCTTGGGAACATTCAGCTTCTTGTTGCTGTAGAACTGTCCGACTGCCGCCAGATGCACGTCACCACCGAGTATGGTAACGCGCACAGACTTGGTCGAAGCAATGTGTTGCAGCTCCTTGATGAACCAGTTGCGCTCTTCTTTGTGGTGCTTGGCTGTCCAATGATCGTCTAGGTCATCCAGGATCTCGACACCTCCATCGAACTTGTTGACAAAGTTGCCCAGCATTCCTGCGCGGCCGAGAGCCTTTAGAGGGTCCATAAGCCTGCTTGTGAGGATGTTCTCGAGGAAGTTCAACCGGGGGTAGGCAATGGGTACTCCAAGGAGCACGATCAGGTGCTTAGTCTCACCCTTGATGATCTCATCTTCCAGACGATCGAAGATGATGTCGTAGGAGTCTTCGGTAAGAATTTCATCACGCTGTCGCTCTGTACGGCAGTCAAGACCGAGGAAGGCTACTTGACGACCGAGCTGCATGAAGACGCTCCGAGAGCGCTCCTTGATGTACGGGCCAGGACTCTTTCCAAGTACCCATGACGGTTCGGTCTTGTCGGTTTCGGCGGGTACAGACTGATGTTGGAAGAGCATGTAGTACTTGAAAGCAACGGCACCAACACCGGTGAATACTGGCGTTTGCATAAAGTGATGAGGGTATGATCCGAAGCCGTCGATAATGTCGTGGTCATCCCAGATATTGACCATTGGGATCTGGGAGTTGGCCATGCCAAACAAACCCTGGGAGAACCACATTGCATACCGATCGAGGTAGAACTGCTCCAGCTCGTTCTGCATCTCCTCAGAGAATGTCTGATGGTGCTTGTGCATGGGGTTTCTGTTTTCAGTCCATTGTCTGAACAAAGTCGTTTGCCTCATTACAGCGTCGTTGTAAATCTGATCACCTCCACCGATCATCACATGGAATGGGCGGGTTTGGTGCGTGTTCAATACATCGCGCCACATCGGGTCTGGACCACAGAACTCATTCGCTTCGACAGTGGCCGAGAAGCCGTTGCAGCTGTGAAACATGATGTTCATAGACTCTCCCTTGGCTGGGACCCAAAATCCGATGGCAGGACCTTGGTTGATCTTGTAGGCAATGCGTGTCTGAGTACTGCCAAGTTCGACTTCGATGTTGAAGCGCCAGAAGGTCACGCCTCGCTCAGCATACAGGCGTATACCGGGGAAATCACGGACTTTGCCAAGCTTCTCGCCGTCCTTCTTGTGAATACGGGTTGACTTAGAACCCGATCCGTTCGTTGTGCTTCGAGTCGTGGAGAACAAACCGGTGTCGTCTTCAATGCGCGATAGGTCCTCGTCCTCTGCGAGTTCGTCAACCGGCTTGACGTATAGCGCCTCACCAGTACGCGACACTTTGACTTGGCCTTCGATGGGATCGACGTAGGATGGGTCCAGCTGGTCCTGGCTAATTTCCTCCGGCGGAGGCGGAAGTATGTCCATTGGCTGCTTGAACAATCGCAACGTCGGCGGCTTGGCATACGAAGAAGAGGCGTCAACAGTAACAATCATGATACTGCCTCTCCAGATTTCACGCTCACGTCCGGGAACGCTGCGATCTCTCCGAAGACCGGTGTAGCGTAGGAGCGGTCCACACTTGAGGTATAGTGGTGGATTGAAAGCAGTGTGTGTGGGGGCATCGTCGGCATAGCCATCGTAAGTTGGCTCCGCGTATCCGCCTGAACGTCTTCGTCGAGAGGCCTTGCTCTCTTCCCACCATGCTTTGTTGCCGCTATTGGCTTTGACTGGAGCGTCTAGATCTAGATCATCTGCAGTAAGGAGACCGATCGGTGCACTTCTCCATTCCTCGAGCATAGGAGCGGGTGTGTAGGTCCTCTCCGGCTCACTGTGATGGCGGGAGTAGCGATGTTTCTTCTCGGGATCGTGCTGCTCTAGGTCCGACTCGGATTCGGAGAACATGACGCTCTTGCGATTGGTCTGAGGGACAGGCGGAATAGGCGGTATTTGAACGGTCTGGGGAACGGGAGGGATCTTGCGTGGTAGTTGCTGGGTATCATTCTCTCGTGGTGATCCTTTGTAGTCGATATCATTTTGTTGCATTTCCATCTGTGCAGCCATGAATCCACGGCTGTCTCTTTTCCCCTGGCCCCTCTTGCTCTCCGAACGAGATACATCAGAGGGTGTCGAAGTGTCGCGGACACCTACCAGACCAAGGCCCGCGGGGTTGGCTACGGGCTTCCTGGGCATGTTCTGCGAAGGCAGCATACTCCGATCGCTGTAGCTGCCAGATTTCCGTGAGCCCGCCGGTTCCTTTCCCTTCAAGCTGCTACCTCGCGGTATGGCAGCATCAGTATGCGGTACCGGCTGGTAGGCCATGGGAACAACCTGCGCTTTTTGCATGGGTACATGCTGAACGGACTGAACTGCTCCTCCTTGCGCATCCGAGGGGTGCCATGGGTCGCTAAGGTCATAGGCATAGCCGTCGTCCGATTCCAGGTCGCTCATGGGCGGTGACATCGGTGGGGACATTGGCGGGGACATGGTTTTGTCCTGGAACGGCATAGACACCTGGCGCCTGCCGTTGTTGGTCGGAGCAGAAGCGTTGGATGACTTCTCCGGTATGGGCACAGACACGACGCGTTGCTTTTGCGCAGCTTCTCGCGCTCGTCGTTCTCGCATCTCCGCCTCAGCCTTCTCTTGCGCGGCCAGTTCCGCCTCGAGTATCCGTGCCCTTCTCTCTTCTTTGCTGATATCGTCTAGCTTCCCCTCCAACTTTTGCAGGGGCGATCGGTCGGGCACAGAGGGTCTGCGCTGAGAGCCGCGTCGCTGGACGGTCCCCGCCAACGGTTCGGCTGGCGCATAGGGTGGTGACCGCAGCTCGTACAGTCTGTTGGCAGCTGTTTGAATAGTCGCCTGCTGTCTGCTCGGGTTCAATTGGATGGCTGGGTCGCGCGATCGGCCAGAGCTTGAGCGCGCGGGTACTTTGACCCCTCTGGCATACGGGTCCCGGTATGAGGAGGGTGGCGCACGAGGTACTTCTGGGGCAGCTGGCACAGATTCGCTCGTTGCGCCTGTCGTCGGGGGCGGAATATGCCTGCTCTGCCGCCGCCTATGCCCGCTGCCAATGGTGACATTGCCATTCAAGGGCACAGTTGCGACCGGGCGCGCAGTGTTGCTGGGTACGGTATTCGACATATCGGGCTCTGGTGGGGATGCGCCTGTGGGTTGCGCATCGGCTGGGCGGCGGTAGGATTTGCGCTTCTGGGGATTGCTGTCTGGAACTTCAAGGAGAGTAGGATTGACGGCCCGCGATGCAAAGGAGCCGCTGTTCCTATTGTTTTCCATGATGCGACGAGATCATGGGATCGGTAATGGCTACGGTGAAGCAAGCGGGGCGTACCACCGTCCTGGGGAGATGGGACGAAACTAGGTCGGGCGCATCTACGTAGCTAGGTTACACTATCACATGCGGTCTTAGATACACGTCTCAATTGCAGTCCTCGGTGGTGGTAGCTACCTAAGAATGTCGGGTGCGGAGATGCGGCGGAGGTGTGCTGGGGTGCAATGTGCGGTAGCGATGATGGACGGCGCAATGACAACGATGTGTCGCGGGAAAATCAAGAGATGCTAAGTGCAAGGACATAGGAAGAGCGGTACGGATGCAGGGTCGGGGCAGTTATCCATGGCCAGCGCATATCACAGAATGGTGGTGGCGGGCGCGGTAGAGGAGGCTGGGGCTCGAGCTGGACGGACGGCAACATCTTGGACAGACAGGCATCCTCCACACGGCGCCCGGCAAGGCAAGGGCGACGGCCACTAGCGCCACAAGGGGAAGGCGTCCCGGGGGTCCCAATACAGGCACCTTGCATGCGAAGAAGCCAGAGAAGTGTCAAACATCAACGTTTCAGTCGCCGACTTCCTCGACGTGACGCCCCAGGTGCTTTCTTCCTCCTCTTTCACACCACGCCTGTATTGTTCCCCCCGGCGCACTGCACTCGGCGCGCGCATAGGCATTCGGTCCATCTAATTCCCTGTCGTCGTAATCAGTCTCCTCAATAAGCTCAATACCGACGACCCTCTCGACTCGCCGCCCACGGTATCCTCACCACCCACCTACGCATACTTCCTCAGCACGCGCTGCCACGTCACGCCCTACGACCCTACACGATACATGACCGCAGCCGGCTGCACATAATACCCTCTCGGCGTCTCCGCCATGCGCATTCACTTTTGGAGCCTGCTGACGGCAGCGACACTGGCTACTGCGGGAAGGCACCTCCCACCCCGCAACTACTCGAGCCACGACTACTATGCCATCCACATCTCCCCCTCCGCATCCCCCTCAGACCTCGCCGCGCACCTCGGCCTGACCTACGAGGGCCCCTTCGGCACACTCGAAGACCACCATGTCTTCAAGGCCCCCAAGCACGAGAACGACATTGTAGACGACGCACAACAAGAACTCAAGAGGCGGCGGCGGAAACGGGAAGTCGGCCCCGAATACCACCCTCTCGACAGCGTCCACTTCACCCAAAAGCAAAAGATCAAGGCGCGGCACTGGAAGCGCAGCGTCATCCCAGAACTGCCAGAACGGGGGCCCCCTGTTACGGATGCCATCAAAGCTCAGCGGGAAGTAGCGAGCCAGCTGCAAATCAAGGACCCCATCTTCGAAGAGCAATGGCACATCTTCAATGTGAAGACGCCTGGGAACGACATAAACGTCACCGGTGTGTGGCTGCAGAACATCACCGGCGAAGGCGTTACCGCATGCGTTGTCGACGATGGCCTGGACTACACCAGCAACGACCTCAAGGACAACTTCTTCGCTGCCGGCTCCCACGACTACAACGACCACGAAGACCTACCGACCCCGAAGCTCTCCGACGACCGCCACGGCACACGATGCGCGGGAGAAATCGCCGCCGGAAGGAACGACGCCTGCGGTGTCGGACTTGCCTACGACGCGAAGATCTCGGGTGTGCGCATCCTGTCGGGCGACATTACAGATCTCGACGAGGCACTCGCGATAAACTTCGAGATGCAGCAGAACGACATCTACTCGTGCTCGTGGGGTCCACCTGACGATGGTAAGACCATGCAAGCTCCAGGCATTCTCATCGAGAAGGCCATGGTCACTGCTGTTCAGAAGGGCCGCGGCGGAAAGGGATCCATCTACGTTTTCGCGGCAGGCAATGGTGCTGCGAGCGACGACAACTGCAACTTCGACGGTTACACCAACAGCATTTACAGTATCACCGTCGGCGCCATCGACCAGAACAACGGCCACCCATACTACTCCGAAGCCTGCTCCGCACAGCTGGTCGTAACATACAGCAGTGGCGGCGGCGACGCCATTCACACAACAGACGTTGGCGCAAACAAGTGCACCAGCCAGCACGGAGGCACATCGGCTGCCGGACCCATCGGTGTAGGAGTATTCGCTCTTGCGCTCCAGGCCCGTCCTGAGTTGACATGGCGCGACATGCAATGGCTCGCCGTCATGACAGCTGTTCCCTTCGACACGCCCAGCGACTGGACCAAGACCTCGATCGATCGCATGTTCAGCCATCAATTCGGATACGGAAAGCTCGATGCCTACGCTATCGTAGAGAAGGCAAAGGAGTGGGAGCTCGTCAAGCCTCAGGCATGGTTCTACTCACCTTGGATGCACGTGAAGAAGGCGATTCCCGAAGGCAATCAGGGCCTTGCCAGTGTCTTTGAAGTCAAGGAAGACATGCTCAAGAAAGCCAACTTTGCTCGTGTTGAGCATATCACGCTCACCATGAATGTAGAGCACGAGCGCCGCGGCGACCTCAGTGTTGAACTCCGATCTCCAAGCGGCATGGTTTCGCACCTCTCCACCGCACGCCGCGACGACGAAGCGCCATACGGCTACATCGACTGGACCTTCATGTCCGTCGCCCACTGGGGAGAGAACGCCATTGGCAACTGGACCGTTATAGTCAAAGACGTCAAATCCGGCAACATGAAGACAGGCACATTTACCGACTGGAAGCTCCGCCTCTGGGGTGAATGCATCGATGCCTCCAAAGCCAAACTCCGCCCCATCCCTGACGAGCACGACGACGACGATCACGACAAGATTGATGATCATCCAGCGCATACCACCAGTATTACCATACCCAGTGGTACCTCACCTACCATGACATCCATCCCCGATGACCACCCTGACCGTCCCGTGAACCAGAAGCCCTCTCAGACACCAGCTAACAGTGGTGTGCAGACGACGACTTCGGCCACTGCGAGTGCCAGTGTCACGGCGTCTGTTGATCCATCTGAGAACTTCTTACCCAACCCCTTCCCCACATTCGGCGTGTCGAAGCGCACCCAAATCTGGATATACGGCGCTCTCGCCCTGATTATCGTTTTCATGGCTGGTCTCGGCATCTATTTCTTCATTGCTAGGCGCAAGCGCATGAAGGACTCGCGCGACGCGTACGAGTTCGAGGTCCTGGACGACAACGAAGCTGGAGATGACGCGGGCTTGCTTTCTGGTGCTGCAGGCAGGAAGAAGCGCGCGAAGAGGGGTGGAGAGTTGTATGATGCTTTTGCTGGCGAGTCTGATGAGGACTTGCTGAGTGATGACGAGGGCAGCGAGGGCCCGTATCGGGATCAGGATAGGTTTAACGAGAAGTATGCTCAGGATCAGGATGAGGAGAGCGATGAGGACAGTGGTAGTGGAGCGAGCTCGGCGGGCAAGAGGCAGTAGGAACGTCTCCAGCTTTAGCATCAGCTTTTTTTGTACAGTGGTTTTATGCGAATCAGATCATTGGGCGGCGTCTCTTCTTTGCTTAGACACGTATTTACCTGCCGTCTCAGTGACGCCCACACGAAATACACGCGCAAAACCATGGTGTTGTCATACCTAGATGGATTATGAGAAATTGGGGGTATCATATTTGCGCGCATAACTTTTTCCCAAACTGAACAAATCTAAGCAACCTTTCTTCCCACATTGCCTACTCCTCTTCCTACGACACTAACAACTATCTCCTCCCTCTCGCCTCCAGCCTCCCTAAAGCCCCATGCGCTGCCGCCAAAGACTTTGGAGTCCCGCGCCAGTTGTATAATCTCCTCACTGCCCAGTATATCCTTGCCCAGCGCCACTCTGCCCACATCCTCGCTACCCATAGCCATGAGCATGAGTACCGTAGGCGCCGCAACGTTCTCCACGCATCCTCCCTGCGATATCTTCTCGAGAAGCTGGTATGCGCATTGCTTGCCGATTTCGTCTGCGGGCACGCCGCCGTCGGGTGGTGAGCATACGTCTGCAGAGTATATGCACCCCGTGCTGGTTTCCGCAACGAGACTAATACCGAAACCCACTGCGCCTTTAACTTTTCCGCTGGAGTGGCCTTTGGCGTTTGTAGGTATTAAGGGCGCGGCGCTGGCGTCGGAGAAGATGTACGTGTCTGGGACGAATTTGTTAAGGATGCCTCGCGCAGTGAAGGTCATGCGCTCGTTGTTGCTCTTGGGGACTTCGACGCAGTAGGCTACACCTCTTATCTTCTTGACTCGTCCGGGGTTCAGCAGGTGCAGTGTCTTGGGCAGGCGGACTTGGTGGTTGAAGACAAGTTGTACCTCACCGCCTGCGCCCTTGCCGCCTGCGGGGGCGGAAGAGCGCTTGAGGATGCGCAGTTCGATGTTCCGTTCGATAGCGAAGTTTTTGTAAAGCGGGAGGATCGCGGTGCGTACGGTGTCGGCGGAGACGTCGCCGGCGATTGTGGAGGCTGTCACGCAGCCTTCGCCGTGGAAGACGACGTTCATGTTTCCTTTGCTGAAGGGCGCGAGAACGCAGAGTGGGATCAGCCACCAGCTCACACCCCTCTTTCTGCACTCGGCTGGTATCTCGTGTCTGATTACGCCGCCGCTGGCTCCTAGACCCTCGGCGCTTCCGGTGATGAGACCGGGTCTGTAGACCAATGTCGTACCCGTCATGCTGAATTGAACCTGTGAGCCGTTCGTCACCGAATCGAGCAGTCGGATAAAGTTTGTCTCATGGCGTGTTAAGCCGGGTGTGGTCGAGGAAGAGCGAATTTGCGAGATGCGAACGGGTCGGCCGGTGAGGGTTGCCAGGAGGAGGCGCGAGATCATATGCCGATGACCGGTAAAGTTCAAAGGCTGCTGCAGCGCTTCATCGAGAGCCATCGTGAGGATATGCCGGGGGTTTCGGTATTGTTTGAGAGGGTTTGCGACCGAGTTGGCAAGTTCAGGTAACTTTTTTTGGCGGAGCTCGGGCGTTATCGATAAGACAGACTAGCGCGAACGCGGTGTTCGCGTTCTGGGGTGGAACGCCGGAAGGCGCGTTGCTGCATGATCTCGAGTCCGTCTCGGGAAGACTGTACATTCACGTGCGCCGACATCGCATTACCTCGAGGACGCATTGTATCTTTTTCTTTCGTTCGGTTTCCTTCATTCATGCGCGGCGATGGTATACCTGACGAAGCAAGCGCCGAAATTGTTAAGAAACATTGGTGGAAAGCGGCATGCTGGCGAGGACGATCACGAAGAACCCGCGTCCAAGAGGCAGGCGAATGACAACAATTCGTCTACAAATCAGCAGGAAGAAATCGATATCGATGCCGAGCCCGTGTCCTCCGACAATGAATCGCATCCTCCCCCTCCTCAACCGGTCCAACCCGCGAAACCCACTATACCTACGTCTAAGGATACCGAGGATACAACTCTGAGAAGACCTCAGAAGAAGGCTGCGAGAAAGAAGGTTGGGATAATACGTGCGCCTACGAGTGGGACGTATCAGAGTGGTCAAGCGCATAAAGCCACGACGATATTCGACGATTCGAAGGAAAACACACCTGCGTCGTCTACAGGGTCAGCTAACGATGGGCCAATTAGTTGGGGTATGGAACACTCTTCCCAGAAGACCAGTAAGAACAGCAAGGGCTATGGTTCGAAGACCAGGAATATACACGCAGCACCACCTGCGAAGAAGTCTGGGAAGGCAGCGTCAAAGACTACAGGGCAGACCTATGGAGTGAAGAACAAATCGCGGATTGGCCTGTCACAAGCTGGTGACGAGAGCGATGCCAGTTCCATTGGTCTAGACGACGAAGAGCTCTTTGCGCTGCCAAAAGACTGCGACAGACCACAAAATAACATCGACGGACTGCGTAGACCGAAGAAGAAGGTGAAAAACACAAAGACCGAAGGCGGCGATGCTACACCCAAGATACTCGAAGGCGAAGAACTGGACAAGGAACTAGGAATCACTCCAATGAGTCCCAAGTCACTGAAGAAAGCAGAAAAGGCAGCCAGAACCGCCCAACTCCTTGGTCAACTAAGCAGCTGGAAGGAGAACCAGGAACCACCTTCCTCACAGCCTGATTCCAGCGCACCACAAGAAGCTCTCGACGACATTAGCAGCTATATCGGGAAGCTTCCCGACGTAGAGGAAGAAGGCTCACGATGCACATTATGTTCGGAGCCAGTCGAGCAGGACGAATACTGGAACTTCTGGAAAGGCAAGGATAAGACGGTCAAGAACAAGTCCGCATTTTGCCATGCGCACAAGAAGAAGTCGGCGCAGAAGGAATACACACAGGAAGGATACCCGGATATTGACTGGAAAGCGCTTCCCAGACGAATACGCAGGAGCAAGGCGACGCTGTTACAGATACTCAACAACGACCGGTCCAGTATACACAGAGATCGCTACGAACCGTTGGCATTGACTGGAAAAGCGGCCGCTGTGCCCTCGAGACGAACAGATCTGGCAGAAGATGTTCAAGAGGAACTGGAGTCATACGCGCTTGACGAAAAGGCCGCTTACCCGGGTTACTATGGTCCTCACGGCCGTCGCGTCATCACAGAGAGCGTGATGGATACCCTCAAGGTCGAGATGAAGAATTGCAAGGACCGTGTCGTCCAAGCATCCGGTATCGCGGCCTTTGTGCAGGCCGTCATGGTGCCTGAGGCGGCGATACTGCTCATCATGGACGACTGTTCAGTGGGTAGGGAAGAGGCGGATGAGATCAGGGAGAAGACGTATGATATGGGTCTTTTGCTGAACGAGGAGATTGAAGATGTGCTCGAAAGACAGGACGATAGCGACGATGAAAATGAGTATCAGTACAAGTGACGGAAGGGGTGAATTCTGAGCTTTACCAGATTTTTCACGAGCGTTGTTTCTTTGGCTTCACCGCACTCGTTTCACGCTCTGCGTTCTTATCTGCTTTAGCCACATTCTTCTGCGCTTTGTCGGTTCATCGGCTTTGGCCACACGTGGTCGCGTATTCTGATACCCAATACTATTTCTACGCCGCTTTCATCGTGTGCAATTCTTTCGACTGCTTCTCAATAGTGAGCATTTGCTTGCTACATGTTGACTATGCTACTTCGCCAGTCCCCTCAAAGTACAGATAGAGTATACAGACCCAGGCGTCTCGCTGATTATCCAGATCACCGTCCTATCGTATCCATCACGCCTTCTCAAGATCACGCAAACGCGATTCTCTTGGCACTACGTCTATATAAACGCCGTTTTCTTGCCCATAGAACTCATGCCCCATCTACTGCCTTTGCAGTTTTCCAAAACAACATTGTGTGAAGGGGATGTGGTCCGCTCTCAAAACTGGTAGTGGCTGACTCATGTCGGCATCTCTTCTCCGCTGTTCGAAACACTGTCGACAGATTTCTATGTTCATACATCTCCAAAAAAGACCTTTTCAATGTGGCCATGATCTGTGGATTTCGGACCCCTCGGTCGTTCCAAAAACGTTCTCAACCTCAGCATGTCCGCCGTCGTGGCCCCGGCTCACAATATTTAAGTCCCTGTCGCCTCTTCTCTCCATTCTTCTTGCAAGAACACGAAAAATCTTCTGTATTACCAAAAGAAAGTCGGGCAAGTACGCATGGCCTTTCCCAAAGATATTGCGAAACAAGATGATGTCTGCTCCTCGCTCTTTCCCTTCGCCAGGAACTTTTCGAAGACCAACTGCGACGCACCTGTATGTGCTAAAACATCATCAAAAGACTCTCATGGTGCGTTCGATCCCTCAGAGTACACCGAATACAATCTCGCCCTTCCGGTCTCTTCATTCCACCAAAACGACAAGTGCCGAAGCATATGCGACCCCACATTCTCGAAAAGTACAGTCAATCTCGATACGGCCATGCTTCTACTCCTCGTGATATCCAAGTGAGCCAAAAAGGAAAAGTGCGAGAGTTCATGTTCGGGCGGTTGGGCCGGCTTCCGCTGTGCATCGTTGAGAATGGAAGATGGCTTCCATACATCACCATGGCGATGCTTTGTGCTAGTGCAGATGGGTATAAATATCACGCCTGGCACGCCCGCCTTCATTCTTCCGTTACCTTACTTTCTACACCACAACAAAAAGTATGTCACCACCTCATCATGACTTTTTTTCGAAAAAGCTCAAGACAGCTGTGATGTCTTTTCGCTGTCTGCCTGCCGCGAGCTACCAAAATCGAAAGTCTTACGAAGTCATGTTTGGAGAACTGCACATCAAAAGCCCCAACGCATACAACATGGCCGCCTCCAAATCTTTGAACTTGTTATCCAATATGCTCGCTGTATCCAGTTCGTATCAAAAAGAACCACGAAAGATTCGCCTTTATCAAAACTCGCAGTTGATGTAGACATGACGGCTTCGCTTCTCTAAAATCCAAGCATGATGTTTCATGCCAGATGCATCGCTTTTGGAAAGTTCATAGACATGCAGCAGAGCACATGGTATCCCAAAACTTATACGTTCGAGTTAAGCGCTGAAGGTGTGCCTCGGTCGTATATATAGCTCCAAGCTTTACTCCGCTCCTCTTCTCTTCTATTCTTCATCTCCCTCCCTATTTTTTCAAAAAATGTTAGCCGCACACGTCCATGGTCTGTTCGGAGAATCGCGGTGCAGATATTTCATATTCAACCTGCGAGCACGGAGTGCTTTTCCAAAACACACAGCGATCAGCCTCATGGACTTGGAGATGGCAACCTCGATACACACAAAAGCTTCCTTGCGACAATGGCAATGATGTGAATGATTTAGTAGCGGCTGGACACTATGCGAATGGACTAGCTCAAGGTGATAGCAAATGGGTACACGTGGAATCTCTTCGCATCTCTTTTCTTCCTCGTTGACTCGGTACCAAAAATGTGTACTAGAAGTTACCTTCACTGCTACTAGAGGTAGCACAATTTGTGATGCATTGTCTGCAGAATATTTCGGGGCTGGAGGATACATTGACTTAGGAAGTGTGTACTTATTAAGATTTAACAGTATGTATACGCCACGCATTGTAGCTAATGCAAAGCAAAATCATCGCAACAGTCTTGCGGGAGAGCACATTTCCAGCAGGATCTACGTCAAGCTTTGCGATAGCTTACCGCCCGCGCTACTGGTGAGAGGGCTCAGCACGTGGGAAATACCTGGGTATTCACTCATATAAAGTGAAGGTGAGAGCGATATTTTGACTTTCGACTCTACACTCCTCTACAACACAACAAACCGAAACAACAAACACTGCAAGATCCACCAAACCATTCAATCCAACATCATCATGGCATCTCCCAACTCTGCCGCCGAGTTCTCGTTTGTAGAAGTGACTACTTTCCCTCCTCAGTCCGCCGAAGTCCAGGCCAAGGTGGCCCGCCTCCAGGCAGACACCGACGAAATGGTGGCCGAGAGAGACAGGTTTGCAGCCATCAGTAAGTACTGCAGAAACAAGTGTCATGAATTCGGAGCTAATTGTCATCTAGACGGGCCCTTCATCGCCGCCGGCGGTGACCCGGACAACATCCCAAACCCATGGCGCCTCACACCAGCCCGCCTAGACAACATGCTCCGACTCTACTACGGTCTAAAGCCCCACGATCGTTCGTTCGAGGGTATCTCCTTTGTTCAGTACTTTGGAAGCATCGACGGAATTGCCAACGGTTACCCCATCGGCACCCGCGTCACGTCATTCAACATCCATACTCAAGTCACCAACCTCAACGAGATCTGGCGCATGGTCAAGTGCATTCAAGACTCCGAATCTTTCGGCGAAGGTGGCACAGGCCTCCCCGTCCACGGCGAGGGAGAGCCCACGTTCAACATACTCGTCACGATGACTTGAGCCCGAGCTCCTGCTTCAGCTTAGATGGTTGGACATACCAAGACCCGAGGTAAGTCCTGGCTGTACGAACTGCATTAGAGACATACACTGACGTCGTACCCTACCTCCGCAGGTATCAGAAGGTTTCTTGGTTATGGCGACCTCAAGAAACACGAAAACTTCCTCGCGGCACAGCTATGGCTTGGGTGAGTAGAAATGGATAAACGGTAGCTTAGTGGAACCAAGAACCCTTTGTGTGCAGCTCGTCTAGGCGTCTACATTGATTCAAGCGGGCTACATCCAGATACTTATGATAGCTCGTGTATGACTTCAAGGGCTGGCAGCCTTTTAGGCTCTCCTTCAAAAAATTCATGTAGTTTCCAGAGCCATGTTTTGTGACCGATAAGTCCTTCGTGAAAAACTTTGTATATCTCAAAGCGGTTTTAAAAGTTCGAGTTCTTCATGAGTTAGTATCTTTTAGCCTCCACAGGTTCTCGAAATCTAGGCGTCTCCATGACGCGAGCCACCTCTGGGAGGACTACGAGCGGTATCTCGCATCAGTATTCCGAGCTCACGGTCACTCATAACTCGCGAAGCCTTTCCCACCATCAAGTATAGAAAGGTAAATAAACTGGGCTTCGTACACAGCCTTAGTGCGTATATGGGCGATGTCTCCAAACCCTGGGAATGTTAGAGTCTGCTCATGTTTGTATCAATGAATAGGAGTTGCCTGAGAGGTCGATAAGCCTCGCGCCATCTCGAAGGACCAGCAACGTCAAAGTTACCGTGATGCGGCGCACCAATAGGGTGTAGTCTCTAGCGTGACACGGGAACATGAGTCAGCCGCAAGTGAGTCTTTGTGATGTTCAACTTGGCAGTGATGGTCTCTCCTTCCGTAATCTGCTCTTGCTCTTCCAATGCTACCCGGTCGTGTACGGTGGGAGGGATCGACATGAGCGCAACATAATCACGGATGTTCCGACCAGCTGGCGTGTTCAGGTCCCGCCAGACTCCTTTCGACACCCAGATCTCATCCCGATCTTTGCCAGTTCTGTCGTCCATGTAGGCGCTTGGGCATTGTCCGGGCCCCGCACATACCCCATCCTGTTACCAAGACCCTTAACGGAAGTCGCGCATCAACTTGGTCAGATTCATCGCTACCGCTTTGAGATATGACGCACCACTCCAACGTTCCACTTTCCCTCATCCGATCCATAGCACGCTCTTGCGGCATGAACCACGCAGCAAAAGTCAACAGTCATTTCTGGCCTGATTCGCCCCGTACGTCAGCATAGCCTCCAACAATTCCCAGCGTCCGTCCTGCAGCTGTGCCACGGTTCTACAAGCGTCTGCCCCACTACAGCACACAATGTCCAAGTACAAAAGGCCTTCCTCGATAAACTTTTCTTTTCGCCCTAAGTACTCACCAAGAACGAGATCGCTGGATCTTCCATTGTTTTACGCTACCTAAAACCAAGAATTCACAAGCTCAAAGCCAAATCGACTGCCGAACTCCACCTCCACTTTTCGTCCGCGAGACACCAAAGATGGACATTAGATGGACCTACCGTGTCGGCGCGTTAACCGTACCTTCCTTCGATAATATAGGAGCCCAATGAATACCAGAGTGGAGCGACGGCGTATCTCGACAAAGCGTAGCCCGCATTCTTCACGACGCCCAGGTCCGGGTTCTTGGCTACGGCCTCGTAAAGCGCGTCCGACCCGGCCAGACCCCATCCCTGACGCCTCTCACGCTACTAGTCACCTCGGACGTTTCAGTGGATGGACAATACTCGACCTGGAAGGTCGCGGTGAGTGATCTCAGATTACTCTTCGACAAGGTCAATCGCGAGGACATTACGGTTGAAATTACAGACACCAGAACAGCAGACGGAGCACCCTCAGTGCCGCTCACAGATTGCGCGCCAGAGCTTTTCGCAGCATGGGAGTGCTATCGGTCAGCTCTCCTTGAAGATATCCAGGAACAACAGTGGCTCACCGCCGACATCGTCCTCCGTGAAATCGGAGAATTGCATACCATACGCGCCCCTACTCTCCTCATCACCGCACAAGATGCCGACTCAGCCATATGGTGGGACAGAATCCTACCCCACATACGTCAACTACTCCCCCAGACAATGGAGGTCGATCTCCTTTACGCACCACACCTGGCCATGCAGACATCTGGAGACGAGGAAGAAGCAGAGGAACCGTATGTACGCCCTGCCATATATTCTACAATGCAGGACTACGACGCCATCGTAGAGATGGGAGCCAGTATAGGCGTAGAGCAGCCGGACAACAGCGGAACAGTGGGTGCTGTCATCGTACTCAAGGATGCGGCAGGCAATGAGACCAATTGCGCCCTGACCAATCACCACGTCGTTGCGACACACGATTCAAAGAGTGTCATCAACAGCGGTATGTCGCTGGACGTACGGACACATCAACCAGATTGGCTCACTCTTGAATCTACGACATGACTCTACTTCTATTGTACCGGTAGACATGGAGCAGCGATTTGGAACGAAAGACGGCATCATGCTGGCTTTCGGCGTCATGCATGACCGCAAAGGAGAAGAGTTCATGAGGGCCGGCGACTCCGGAAGTTGCGTACTACTGAACGAACGCAATGGGAGAGCGACCGTTGTCGGTCTACTCTATGCCTCCAACGAGCACTCGCGCGTTTCTTACATGATACCATTCGACCTGGTTGTACGCGACATAGGGCTAGTGACAGGCCAGAAAGTGTCGAAGCCTGAGTTTGTTCAGTACGACGAAAGGGCGTAAGTGCACTTTGGGAGAGGACAGCGCATAGTCATGGTGTTTATTGCGCACCAGTTTATAGATCAACGTAGCTCCCTACAATCAGTTTACAGAAAGCTTTGACATCTCGAAATTATCAGACAATGATTCTCATGAGACTAGTAAAGCGTGTCCATTCATGTAGCCATTCGTCAACACTCGTGTCGCGGTGCTTCGGCGATGCATGGAAAGCTTGTATATCGCTAAACCCCGATGGGCACGAATTGTGTTCATTCATAGAGACTAACTTCTCATCCTCGCTCCATGCCAAATCATTCGAGTACCTCGCACAAGGAAAGGCCGAACAGGTCTGCGGCCTACATTGAGATCAAAACATGCAAAGTAGTTAACTCAACATCAACGTAGGCCCCGGGGTATCTGGCTTTTCCCCTTCAATGAAGTGCGAGTATGCGCCAATATCGACGTTTACTTTGTCGCATAGACTGAGTTTGCGCATGCGTCCAAGCGAATGGCATGTTTGATCTTCAGTTGGAGTTTTGCACGGCTGCTCTGCAACGTATGGCTCGAGAAGCTAACGAGGTCCACGTTCGTGGAGAATGGTGGGGATGAAGACCTCACTCCGTTCGAGAGTAGTCATGACGCGAGGGGATTATTGTGAGCACTTTTGGAAAGATGTAAGAATCCGCATTTTAGACCCAGAGAAGAAGCAGACGGTGAACTTTCATGTTCTCTGCGACGTAAGACTATGGCGCGAGGAGGTATTCAATATGATTTTCAAAAAGAAACTGAACAGTGATGATGTCGTAAAGTCCTCCCGGCTCCAGCATAAAGTCAGAGATATCGACTTTTGAGTCGTTTGTATGCGTTACTTGGTCATTTGTTTTTGGCAATCGTGATGCTCTCAGAGGCCGAAAAGAACATGGCGAGTGTTGTTGTAGTTTTGGTAGACCGGAGAGAAAATATTGAGCTTCTTGGTCTTTTTTTGGTGGACCGGGAGAGGACATGGAAAGTGTCATCGTCGATTTTGGTAGGCGAGCATCGCATAAATCAAGTGAAGTTTCGTCATCTGAGAAGCTGTCCCTCAGTCGTGTTTTGGTTTCAAGATATTGGAAGGAGCGCAAACATAGCCATCGCTGCTTTCACTTTTGATGGAGTGTAGAGCTGAACCCAGACATGCGTTGTGAGTATTTTTATTTTGACGAGAAACAATAGATACAAAGCACCAGATCATCTTTTCGTCATGCTTTGATCTTGCTGGAAAAGACCGGTCTGGGAGCCCACATGAGCAAGATAGCTGACGGTTCTGATGGGAAGCAAGACCCGGGCAGAGACATGTATCGTTACAGGGATGATTTTGATTTTTTTTTTTTGGAAAAGACCGGTCTGGAAGCCCACACAGGCCGAAGGTACTGTCGATTTTTGTGGGAAAAAGACTGGACAGGAAGTCCACATTGTCTTTGTAGTGGTGAGCTTTTGGTGAAAGAGAAGACAGACACACATGGGTGAGCACCCAAGGGATTTTGGTTCAAGGGAAAGTATTGTAGGAGAAAAGAGGGTGGGTGAGCAAAGCCAGTTATATAGCCGTGCTAGCTCTCCTAGAAATCACGTGTTGCACTGGCATTTGCATGTGCGAGGAGAGGAGGAAGGTAATGATGTAGTGACATGCGACGGGTATATTTCATTTCGACTCTCCAGCCACTTTCATGAGCGCATCTCCAGCATGAGTTCCTTATATGCTTTTGTAGCTTCCAATTTGCGCCGTTCCCATTTGACTCCAAAGTATGCTATACAACCATCCTAACCGTCAAGCACTCCGCTCTCTTTGAGTGAACGGAACAGTTCCGGTTCCAGGAACTTGCTAATTGTGACGTCCTCCGCGAGACCCTTCCTTCTTCGTGTCTTGAGCACGAAGTCGCGTGCGAGTTGTTGTGCGGTTGCAGGTTCGAGCGGTCGGGTTGTGATGTCTTTGTCGAGAGGGTCGCCGGGGACGATGGACCAGCGGTCGAAGACGAGGGAGAGGGAGACTTGGCCTTGTGTGTGGATCTATGGGAAGTTAGTATATGCGCTAGGTAATGGGAGTGATTGTAGGAGGTGTACGTACCCTGAGATCGGTCTCGAAACCGAAAGAATCGATGACCGGGATAAGACCACGCACGTTGTACAGCGGTGTGCCCGCAATGGGTCCATCCTGTAGGACGTGTCCTCTCCTTCGTGCGAGGACTGTGTACAAGCTGCTCTTGGTGTCTGCAGGGCCGACCATACTGCAAGAGTACACCGGCTCCATCAGCCTGGGACTCGCCATCAGGAAACTTGAGTAGCACGCTCGTCGACTGGTGGGGATGATCTGACCACCTCCGCGGAAGATGGCTTCTGGCGCAAGTTCGACATCGGTGATTCGGAACTTTGTGTTGCGAATGGGCTCTTCGCAGAGCGGGCCTTCTCGGGTAGCCCAGCTGAAACCTTGTCGAAGCGTATCGCGCACCGTTCGCAGAGTCTTGCCGTCGACCTCTGAGGGAAGCGTGTCGTTTTGTAGGATGTTGGGGCCCATGTCGTCAGGTCCGAAAGCCCAGATGTTGCGCGACGCGAGCAAATCGTATCCGTAGTTCTCCTCAAAGAACTTTCCAACGACTCGGACGGGATCTTTGATGTTGACCTTGCCAGCTTCGATATCTTCCGCGATACCTGGGTCGAGCGGCTCAGCAATCATGGTGAGTTTGTTCTTCTTGTTCGGTGTAAGCGCGTAGCACTTGATGGCGGACATCTCAACGACCGTCTCGCAGAATCTTGTTACGGGATCTGACACCTTGATCTCCATGTCGGCGTATAACCGTCGTAAATCGTGCAGAACACAGTCCATGTACAATTCGCCCGTACCGAGAACAACGTGCTCTCCTGACTCCTCGACCTTGGTTGTGATGAGCGGGTATGACTTGTTGATCTTGCGCAGACCGTCAAGCATCTTCGGTAGTTCGGAGGGGTTTATCGGTTCGACTGCGACCTTGAATACGGATTCAAAGAAGTGGCGGATGGGTCGGAAAATGTAGGCGTCTTCGTCTTCGGGAAGTTTGGTAGCCACAATAGTCGCCGTCTTGACTATCGAATTATCGACACCGCCGAGCAGCACCCAGTTACCTGCCGGAACACCGCTGACAGGGATGTTGTATCGTGACTGCGCTATCCATGTGTCTATTACTGTCGCAACGACCATGTCTTCCTCATCCTCGATCGTGTAGCCTTCACCAAGAACACGCACCGACTGCGGCGAAGTTGCAGTACCGCTCATCACTCGGCCCAATGCTGTGAACGACTTGGCATCTGTTGCATTGAACAGCTTCGTAACATGTATGACTAGGGGTCCGTTCTGGTCGCACTTCTGCATGGCTTCGGCGGTCTTCGTATCCAGAGGTCCGGTGTAGTGTTTTTGCAGCAGCCGTTGCGCACCTTCTTCGGGCGAAGGAACGTGTTGGGTGATCATGTCTACGAAACCGAGAGATGGCCCGAAGTACTGCTGGCATACAAGGCGCATCAGCTCCTTTGCGTCGGTCTTGTATTCTGATGGCTTCAATCGGATGCCCAAAGAGTCGAGCGTGTCCTTGAGGTCATCCGGACTCTGGCTCAGTGTATGCGAGTAGATCTTGTAGACAGGCTCCAAGATCCAGTGTACGAAAGACCGTTGTGAGCCCTCCTCCTGCCGCTTGCGACTGAACTTGCGGCTTCCAGGATTGTAGAAGATGTCGCCCCAAAGACGCATGGCGAATTTATCGATATCCAGACCCTTCATCGGAACGCCGAAACCTGGGAGTTTCGATGGACCGGGGTAAAAGTCGGAGTACATCTTCGCGAAGGACTGAATGGTGAAGCACCATCGCATGCTGGAGCAAGCGAAAGCGACATTGCCTTTCTCAGGGCTTACTCGTCTACTCTCGCCGCGGCCGGGGATGGTGTTCTCGATGATAGTGTTGACCTCCTCGATTACGTGCTTAATCTTGAAGTATGCGTCGCTGGGCGGCAGCTTCAGCTCTAGGATCAAGCGGTCCATCTTGTTGACCACAAGTGTTAGGGGTAGATCTTCTAGCACTGCGTGCTTTATGATTTGCTCCGTGTTCACTTGCACACCCTCAACCACATCCACCACCAAGACCACTCCGTCGACTAGGCGCAACGAGGCGGCGACTTCATCGGCGAAGTTTACGTGTCCGGGGGTATCGAGGATGTTGAAGAGATGCGACTTCAGCTTCGTGTTCTGGAGGACGAGGCTCATGGGCGCAGCCTTGATGGAGAGGCCTCGTTCGCGCTCGAGCACGTGTACGTCGGTGTATCGCAGCTGCTCCTCCCGCTTCTTGCCCCTCTTGTAGTCCAAACGATCTTGGATGTCGTGTGTCTCCATGACCAACATATCCATAAAGGCAGTCTTTCCGTGGTGCAAGTGTCCAGCTATGGCGATATTCCGTATCTGGTCGGGGAAGTTCATCAAATCCGTCAAGAGCTCTCTCGAGTGATGCACCGGGGGCAGATCTGTCTCTTGAATCGTGAACTTCTTCTGCACTACCGGCGCAATAATAGGCTTCGCCAGCGACTGCGTGTCTTCCTCGTGCACCAATACTTCGACATCTGGGCCGTATACGTCGGACGCAGAAGGGTAGTACTGCTTGTCTTCGTGGAGGATCACGGCATTGGACGGCCCCTCGTCCACCTCCATAAGCTGCTGGTCGTTCGTCTCGGCTTCCTCCTCATCGTCAAGGACATAGGCGTCGGCTGCCTGGCCGGTGCTCTGGACATCGTCGTCGGACTCGGCCTCGCCAATAAAATTTCCAAACCTGTCAAAAGTCAGTCGCGTAACATGTTTGGAGAGAATGGGCGCACTCACTCGTCGTATAGGTCATCCATGGCGGCGGTGGGTGTGGGTATATGCGCGGTGGTGATGCGCGTCGAGCTCGAAGCTGTCGCAAAAGTTCAGACGTGGTTCCGCGGCCTAGCGCTAGGCGGTGAGGGCGGAGGTTGCGGCTGGCCAATGGGGCTCCGAGGCGCCTCCTGCAGGGCCAGCAGGCGCCATCCGTTGTCGCGCAAGGCTAAACTCCAAAAAGATCCATCGGGGTATATTTGTTGATCGGGCCATTTGCTCAGAGGCACCTTATATCTGCTCTCTGCACCTTCACTCCGCTTTCCTGCATACCCAAGATACCCATCATGTCGTCCCTTCCCCCAGTTTACATCGTCTCGGCCGCCCGTACGCCTACGGGCATGTTCTTGGGGTATGTTCCCTGGTACTAGAGAAGAGGGGCACCACCGACTCACGCGACAACAGCTCCCTCTCGAGCCTGAGTGCTGTCCAGCTGGGCTCTCACGCCATTAAGGGTATGCCAACCTGTTGCCATTGGAACATGAACTCGTTCTAACACCTCATGTAGCTGCCGTTGAGCGCGCCGGTATCAAGCCCACCGATGTCGAGGAAGTCTTCGTTGGCAATGTTCTCTCCGCAAAGTATGTACAATACCAAACATGCCGAAACTCCAGGAGAACTCTATTGACGACCCTCCAGCCTCGGTCAGAACCCCGCCCGCCAGTGTGCCATTGGCGCTGGCCTCCCCGAGTCGACCGTCGCAACCACCATCAACAAGGTGTGCGCCTCGTCCATCAAGGCCCTCATTGTCGGCGCCCAGACCATCATAACCGGCAATGCCGACATCGTCGTCGCAGCGGGAACCGAGAGCATGTCCAACACCCCCCACTACCTCCCCAACCTGAGGACCGGCGCCAAGTTCGGAGACCAGCCCCTGGTCGATGGTGTGCTGAAGGACGGTCTGACCGACGCATACAAGAAGGAGCACATGGGTCTGCAGGGAGAGGAGTGCGCAGACGATCACGGCTTCTCCCGCGAGGACCAGGACGACTACTGCATCCGCTCCTACAAGAAGGCCAACGCCGCACACGAGGCCGGCTGGTTCAAGGAAGAGATCGTCCCAATTGAGGTTACCGTAGGACGCGGTAAGCCTGCGGTCGTTGTCGACCGAGACGACGAGCCCAAGAACGTAAGTCGCGACCCTGGCAGTGTTCACTAATCGGCACTTTCTTACTTATTAATCACAGTTCAACGAGTCCAAGACGCGTACACTGAGGCCCTCTTTCAAGCCCGGAAACGGAACCGTCACCGCTGCCAATGCTTCACCGCTCTCCGATGGCGCTGCTGCTCTTGTCCTTGCCTCTGAAGAGGCTGTCAAGAAGCACGGCCTCAAGCCCATTGCTAAGATCCTCGGCTGGGGTGACGCTGAGCAGAACCCCTCCAAGTTCACCACCGCCCCAGCGCTCGCCATGCCCAAGGCTCTGAAGCACGCCAAGGTAGAGCTTTCTGCTGTCGATGCCTTCGAGATCAACGAGGCCTTCAGTGTCGTTGCGCTCGCCAACATGAAGATCCTTGGTATCCCAGAAGACAAGGTCAACCTGCACGGTGGTGCTGTCGCGCTCGGCCACGCGCTCGGTGCCTCCGGTGCCAGGATCACAACTACACTGCTCGGTGTGCTAAGGGAGAAGAAGGGCAAGATTGGCTGTGCCGGCATCTGCAACGGTGGTGGTGGCGCCTCTGCCATTGTTGTCGAGTCGATGCAGTAGATGTGCCGTCTCGTTAATGAAGACACGTAATGCTAGATATGAATGAAGTAATCATCTATACTTGGGCTGGATCTCTGCGCCCAGATGCACTGTTGCGTGAGCCAGATAGTAAACATGAGCCTTGTTTAGTTATCAAGATGATCAACGATCTCACCCACTATAATCTCTTCTGTATTCTCTGTTGCATGTAAGTTGGTATGTCCCAGCCATCGCGACGACAATACACCCACCTGCAAAAAGCACTTATTTGTACTCGAGTTGTGTAGATCGACTTTCCGATTCATTGGTTGAACGGTCGGTTTCAGGGGGGTGGAGCGCCAGCACTGGCCGCGCTCGCTTCCAGAAGCGCTAAATCCGGCGCGTGGCATTGGCTAGCAGTCGCTCTCCTTCATCCCAACCCCCGATCACCTCACGTTTCAACGCGTCGACGACGAATCACATGCTGCTAAGCATGGCAAATGCCTCAGGCAATCGATAATAACCGTAGGCCCCGCCACGTATCCACCGGGATGTGCGCTTCTCGCTGTTTCAAGCGCCTCTCCCCGTTCACCAACGGACCATCCGTCCTATTTCTCATGAAACGGCGCACGTTTGGTTAAACATCCGGGCAGCCTTGCTCAGCGCTATTGAACCCCCATCTTGTGTACCTGACTGGTTCCTGCAGGTCCCCCTCAATGTTGCTAACCGGAGATAAACTCGGTCCGTCTATAACTCCCCTCTTGTTGAAACGGAGCCCGATGTGCCTAACGGGAGATGTACACTCTCCCGCGCTCGTCTACCCTCTAGACGAAGCCGTTGGGGCGAATCGGTGGCTGCTATGTCAGGGTCGTTGCCACGCCTCCGTTTTAGGCCTGCGTATATAGGCAGGCCGTCCCTTTCCGACCATCTGGTGCCTCGTTACATCGCCAAACTATACTGTCGTCTTTTCCGTTCTTGTGCCTTTTTTCTTCACGCGTCTAGTACGCAGTCACTCATTACTATTCTTATCTTTCAGCGTCTCGACGATGCGTTTCTCCACACTCACTTCGGCTGCGGCCCTTTTCCAACTGAGCATAGCTGGCTATACTCTCCAAGATGATTACATGACCGACTTTTACGGGGCCTTTGACTTCTTCACTGATGCCGATCCGACAGAGGGCTTCGTCAAGTACGTTGACGAGGCTACGGCGAGGCAGACGAACCTCATCAACTCGTCTTCTTCAGCGATTTCCTGGGGCGTGGACACACAGAACCAGACCCCTGAGGGAAGGCCCAGTGTCCGTATCCAGAGCAAGAAGACCTACGACAGTGGGCTGATTGTGCTGGATGTTGCCCATATGCCATTCGGCTGTGGTACATGGCCAGCGTAAGTAGACTTTCATCCATCGAAAGTCATGTTGCTTACACATTGATAGGTTCTGGACGACTGGCCCCAACTGGCCAAAGAATGGCGAGATCGACATCATCGAAGGCGTGAACGACCAGACGAACAACGGCATGACCCTCCACACTGGCCCCGGCTGCCAGATTGGTGAAGACACCACCCAGTTCGCTGGCTCAGTGACCACAGGAAATTGTGATGTTGCTGCCGAGGATCAGTCGAAGAACGCCGGATGCTCCATCGAACACCCATCGACCAAGAGCTACGGTGCAGGCTTGAACGAGGGTGGTGGCGGTGTCTACGCGACACAATGGACCGCCGATGCCATCAGCGTTTACTTCTTTCCTCGCGACTCCATCCCGGAAGACGTCCTCGGTGACAGCCCAGACCCAAGCGGCTGGGGCAAGCCAGCTGCCAAGTTCGCCGGCGCCTGCGACATCGAGAGCACATTCAAGCAGCAGCAGATTGTATTCGACACTACATTCTGTGGACAATGGGCGGGCAGCAGCAGTGTTTGGAACAAGAGCTCCTGCAGCAAGAAGGCAGACACATGCGAAGAATGGGTAAAGAACAACCCCGAGGCTTTCACAGAGGCATACTGGACGATCAACTCCCTGAAGGTGTACCAAGATAATGGTTACGCCGCTGTGCCTCAGCCCTCTTCGGTGCCTGAGCAGAGCAGTGCTGCTTATGGTGTACCTGTCCCGTCAGAGACACCTGCTGTGCCTGTCCCGTCAGAGATACCTGCTGTGTCGTCTGGCATTCCTGAGCCATCCGAATACCCTGCAGTTCCTCCGCTCATCACCGCCTCTGTATCCGGCATCTTCGCACCAATCCCGACGAGCGAGACCCTGTCCTCCAACGCCCCAGTCGCATCACCTCCTGCCGACGATGCCTCACCCAGCGTACCCGCCGAGACCCCAAGCCCCATCGCCGCACCAACCACGCAGATCAATGCTCCGGCTCCAGCTCCAGCTCCGACCGGCCCCATGTCTGGTTTCCAATGGCCCTCTGGTGGCGCAGGTAGCGGCAACAAACCTAAGCCATCGACGACACCCTCTGCCTCGCTTCCTGAGGGCACTAGCACGGCAGTTCAAAACTCGAGTGGCGCTGCCGCCGCTCCCAGCACAGCGCAAAGCGTCGCTCAACCTTCCGATGTACCGGCCGCATCCCAGTCATACGCTGCGCCTGGAGTACCTGCTCCAGCGCCCACTGTATCTCAAGCACCTGCTGCTCCGGCGGTGCCAGCCCCAGCGCCCACCAATGTTGAAAAGGCACCTCCAGCCGACCCGGCTGTTCCCGTCGTCACAGACACTGTCGAAGCTATTCGCACAGTAGTTCAGACGATCTATCATACTGTCACCGCTCCCGCTCCCGCCCCTGCGGCACCAACGCCCGCTCCTCCTGCTGCTCCGCCTGCCGCAAAGGGACGCATGGCAAGACACATTAGGGAGCATAGGCAGAGGCTCACAAGGCACCACGCCAGACACTGAGCGGTGCATGACGAATGATGGAACGGTTGGACAAGTCACACTGGTTGATGGCTTGCTTGGCTTGGTGGATGGGAACGGCGCACATATACCCCTGGGTTTCTTTGTATATATCTTTTAGACATTGGCAGCAATTCATTTGGATGTGATCTGCATATATATTATCTTTCGTCGTGACAGCTCGTGATGCCTTGATCTACCTCACAGAAACAATCACTATCCTAGATGTCACGTCTGTGGTGATCTTCTTATGTTTACTTCTCCACGCGAATGCTTGCACCTTTTTGATGTTTGATATTCTGAAGGATGCTCCGCTAGCATTGTGTCTTTTCGCTACCAACCTTGTGGAAAGTAGTCAAAGAACACACCCCTCGCGTTAACAGCACGGTCAAGGGGTAGCAAAAAGCAATGCCACCCACACACGCCATGTGTTCTCGCTACGCATAGCGAGCGAAAGCAAAAATTAAACAAAGCTGTGAACTACACAGCCAAGAACACTCATCCCTAGTGCTCCTTCCTTTCTCCTGCCGAAGCAAAGAAAATGGCAAAAAGAATGTGGACGCTGTGGGAATTGAACCCACGACCTTTCACAAGTACGCAGAAGAATGCGAAGCGACTGAAGTTGAATGTTAGGAGAGAGCTGAGAAGAGGTGTGTTGAGTGGAGTCTTACAAATCATACCCCTAGACTTTGGGATGTTAGTGGGTTGTAGAGGTTGATTGGAGTGTTGTGGCAGCTTACCCAAGCGCCCGTATTAGGTAATCGATGAGTATTTTTACAACAGCAATGTATATAATGTTTCAATGTTTTGAAGTTGAAGTCCGGATGACAGACGTAAGCAATGTATGGTGGGCGCGAGACAATGGTCGAGGTGGGGTTGAGGGGCAGATCTTGGAAGGTGGGGTAAGATTGAGACCAGGCCGGGAATTCCAAGGCCATCGCATATCTATACATGTTAGACCTTTGTTTACCTACAAAATAATCACTCGTAATCATTAAAAGAGACCAGAACCCCCCAAAATACCAGAACAATTCCTCGCTCCCTTACAAGGTCATTCAACACAAAGCAATTGTTTGGTTGTATTCCTCCGACATCAAAGCCTCTTGGCCCTTTTCGTCCAGATGGTTAGACAACTTTGTTATGCCAATTCGCCTAAACATGGGATACTGTATTGTCATCGACAGATGCCCTTTCACGCCTGGGTCATTGCCCTTGGAACCAAAATCTGTCGCCCCTTCGTACTTGAGCAACAAGCAGTACAAATAACGAAATGCTTTCCGTACTGTCCGCTCACCATACGCAACGGGCATGCAGTATAGTTTTGCATCATCGCGGAAGATATCGACGTCAGATTCCGGGGCGTCCAGATAGAGATTGGCGTGTTCGAGATGATGCGCAGACCTTTTGGAATCTTGTTGCGACATGTCAGGCTTGATTTCATCTTGCTCCAGTCCCCAGCTGTACCCGACTCGGAACAGCGGGTGAAGCTTCCGGAGCTTGATAGCCCTAAGATAGCGTGGTTTGAGCAACAGTCTTCCCTGTTTTACCATGCCATACTCATTGTCCTCGTCCGAGAGGATGATATGATGGTCAAGTACTTCGAGCATTAGCTCTTCCTCTGGATACGAGTCCTCTCTTTCGCCCTGATCCCGGTCGCGCATCTCGTTTGCTCTTGCAGCCCCGTAGTCTGTGATATCGGGATAGGTGATTCCGTGGGGGGTATCGATTGATGCCCATGAAAATGAAGGCGCTCGAGTTGCGTCGCGTCGTCCAGGGTTCTCGAACACACCATCCCGATAAAGCTCGTTCACTTGCCAAAGAAGCTGACTTTCCAGATTGTTTCTCCAGAGGCCTGCAACATACGTGCTTGGTACTGTGAATAGCTTCTGGTCACTACAGAAGTGCCTCGCAATTCCAGACAGCGCTATTGAGCTGTTAGCACGAACAGTAACATGTCTTAGAACAACCTTGATTGCTGCGCAGCCAAAGCGTAGTAAGAGAGATACATACTAGTAAGAAGTCAGCAAGATGTCTTGAATATTATACGTGGTGGCTACTTTACCCTATGAGTTTGTCGCGCGATACTGTAATTTGCGTTTTGGAGTACACCTCTACAATGTGTTTCCACAGTTCGTAGATGTAAAGATCTACCATGCCCTCATCAGGGTCTGGAAGATCATTTAGGCGATTGCTTCGTAGTGCCCGCCCAGCCTCTGGGGTTAAGTCTTTGAGTCGTCCTTCGTCTATCGTAGCTCCCAACTTAGACCTCAGTCCTATGGCCATTCCAGGATAACCCTCGGCATCATCGAAGTGAGAGCACTCCCAGGCAATCTGGTCGCGACAGAAATGTAGTACACGTGGTGCCATGAGACGTTCCTGCAGAACCCAGCCTCTACGGTTAACAGCTGCGCTCTCAACGAGGTCGTCCCAGAAGGACACGTCGATGAGAGCGCACCTCGTCAACTGTTCCATTTTCGAGCCTTCAGTACTATGTTTTCCGAAAGGAGCCATTCCCGTATGGTTGACGTTGATCTCGTTCTCCCAAAGGGATTCAGGCTGTCGGCTAAAAAACAAACCCTGATCTCCATCAACCGCAGCAGTAGCGGATATGTTGAGAAATGATCTTTGGTAGATCTTGTCCATCTGTCGACTCTGGCTCAGCCAGTCACCCACATGAACCATAGATCGGCTGTTATGATCTTCAGTCGACTGCATGATGCACATCGAGTCAATCCAAATGAACCCGACTTTCTCCAGATGACAAGCGAACAGGATCGCGTCTCGAAAACTTTTCGGCAGCTCCCGCAACTCGATACCCTCCCGCATGAAACGCTCTCTGTTGGTTGATTTCAATTTAAGCTGTCCTTGGACGCCTTTGGGCCTACCCCAGCAATGGCTCAGCGTAACGTATCGACCATCTTCTCTTTCAATACGACCCATCTTTGTTCTATCGCTGTTCCAGGACTTGACTGTCAACTTGCTTGGTACATATCGGCTTGGCATGAAAACATCGTCCGTCTCGACCAGATACACCTTTGCTCGTTGTACATCGCTATATTCTGACAGGACTGTTAGACTGTCTCGGTCACCGATGCCTCGTATGCCTCGGATATCGCCGAGGTCTAATAAGCGCTTCGGATACCATCTTTCCCCGGTGCACTCCCAACTGTCCGCACATTTACACTCGTTCATCCAACTATGCGCCAATTGGATGACTTCATCGGAAGAAGACTCTGACGACGTCAGGGTTCTTAGGCGGCGCTCATTGGGGTCTGTGATGAAGACTCAATACATTGCGACCTCATTGAATAGTCAAACATACCGATTGCTTTCAGCAGGTACGCACGCTTGAACCTTTGGTTGATATCGAAGTCCAGTGAGAACCCGCTCGGCAGAGGTTTAAGCACAGCCGTGATCGAGATCGACTGATCCTCTAGCAGGTTCACGTCGCGCCAAATCGCATTTCCTAACGACGTACATATCTTGCAGTCTACCTCCTTTGATCTTCGAAGTGATGTTGTAGTTTTGTGATGATCAAACGTTAGATCGTGAGTCCCTGACCTCGCTCCCCTTCCACCCCTCAGCATAGCTAAACACACATTACATATCATCTTTTGACGACAAGGCTGAGTGAGATCTGGTGCTATTTGTTGGGCGCAAGGCTGAGTATTCCGCGCTTAGCCTAAGGGCTGCTACTTTGGCATGAATAAAAGGAATGACGCGCTCGTGGCGAGGCGAGGCGACAAGGTTTGATGCGATTCTTGGGAAAGGCTGACTAGATACCTAGGTATTTAAGGGGAACATGCGGGATATAACCTTGGAAGGGTCACACAGGAGCGCAGTAATCGGGGGTTGGGTGCACCCCTGTCCAGCTGAATGCAGCCCTCCTTCAAGGCAGCCGCCGTGCATTCATCCCATAGTTTTACCCCGCAGCATCTCAGCCACGGTCGTCACTGCTGCGCACCAGCGGTATACGCTGCAACAATACGTTTGCGAGTTGCCATAATTCCTCATGCAAAATATACGTAGACTGATGGCTAGCTCCTGAGAGATCAATAGCTAGGTAGCTGCTCAGTTGCTGGGGGGTGGCTGTAGGCCTAGGAGACCTCGGGATGTTGGCGCGCAGAACTGCGTGACCTTGTTTCCTGTACCACCTGCAATGTGCGTGATTATTCTTATCACATGCATGAAGGTTATGCGACATCCCGATCGCTGTAAGGTAGGTATGTAAGCTTGTCGCTGCGCCCGAAACGACCTCGGGGAGCTTTCCAAGGTTCACAGCGCATCCACCATTACTTCCAGCCTTATCTTGTACAAGACGGCCCCGGGACTCAACAAGACAGCTTGAAATCGTCCGCTACTAGGGCAAAAGCTATCACAGGGACCCTATAATTATATCGCTCTGCTTCCAAGGCTATCTCAAGTACTAGCCGAAGACTCCGGGATGCCATCCACTTTCCTGCTGTCAGCCTGGGAGCCTGCCATTCCTGTCACAGTTGCAGATGGCCACATTCTCGACGAAGAGAAGTTGCTCGGATTTCCAGCGTTCAGTAACTGGTTGGAAGCACTTCAAAAGAATCTCACTGTGCAAACAACTCCCGGACACACGTTTGAAGGGGATCCATGGCGCCTCGAGGGCGTGAATGTACACAACGTCACCGTCTTTGACGACGGAATGATAGGCTTCATGACGATCGAGGCATTGATGAAGAAGAGCCACACCAATCTCGACCGAGTCATTTTCTTGCGCGGCGGTACCGTCGCTATCCTTATGATACTACGACCCAAGGACAACGTAGACGAGAAGTGGGTCATCTTGACAGAGCAGCCGCGAATCGGCGCATGCAGCACTGCTTTCCTTGAGATCCCTGCAGGAATGCTAGATAACAAGTCTGGCACTGTTGTTGGAAAAGCAATGGAGCAGATTCGAGCAGAGACGGGGCTTAATGTCAGGGCAGAGGAGCTGATCGACCTAACCGCAATGGCTCTTGACAAGGCTGAAA